CAAAATCCTAGAGGAGAACACAGACAGCAACCTCTTCAACCTTGGCCTCAGCAACTTCTTGCTAAACATGTCTCCAAAGCAAGGGAAACAAAAGCAAAATGAACTATTGGGACTTCATTAAGATAAAAAGCTTCTGCACAGCAAAGGAAACGTCAACAAAACTAAAAGGCAACCTACAGAATAGGAGAAGATACTTGCAAATGACATATCAGATTATGGGCTACTATCCAAGATCTATAAAGAACTTATCAAACTCAACACCCAGAAAACAAACAATCCAGTCAAGAAGTGGGCAGAAGATATGAACAGACATTTCTCCAAAGAAGATATACAAATGGTCAGCAGACATGAAACAATGCTCCACATCACTTGTCATCAGGGAAATACAAATAATAACCACAATGAGATACCACCTCACAGCAGTCAGAATGGCTAAAATTAACAAGACAGGAAATAACAAATGTTGGTGAAGATGCGGAGAAAAGGGAACCCTTTTATGCTGTTGGTGGGAATGCAAGCTGGTACAGCTACTCTGGAAAACAGTATGGAGGTTCCTTAAGAAGTTAAAAATAGAGCTACCCTGTGCCCACCAATTGCACTACTAGGTATTTGTCCCAAAGATAACAAATGTAGTGATCCAAAGGAGCACCTGCACCCCAATGTTCATAGCAGCAATGTCCACAAGAGCCAAACTGGGGAAAGAGCTGAGATGTCCATCGACAGATGAATGGATAAAGAAGATGTGGTATATATATACAATGGAATATTACTCAGCCATCAGAAAGGATGAATACTTACCATTTACATCAATGTGGATGGAACTGGAGGGTATTATGCTGAGGGAAATAAGTCAGCCAGAGAAGACAGTAATTATATGGGCTTCACTCATATGTGGAGTATAAGAAACAGGGCAGAGGACAGTAGGGGAAGGGAGGGAAAACAGAATGGGAAGTCATTGCAGAGGGAGAAAAACTATGAGAGACTCATAATTGTAGGGAACAAACTGAGGGTTGCTGGAGGGGAGGTGGCTAGGGGGAGATGGGTAGCTGGGTAATCGGCATTAAGGTGGGCACATGATATGATGAGCACTGGGTGTTATATGAAACTGATAAATTATTGAACACTAGACCTGAAACTAATGATATACTATAAGTTGGCTAATTGAATTTAAATGAAAAAGAACAGAGTCTGGCACATAATAAATGCTAAATCATTGGTTATTGGTAAAAAAAAAAATGAGCTTGATTTTAATCTGAAGAATTATAAGAGCACCACTTCCAAACTGGCATGTTGTCTTGTTTCACTGAGTCAGTCAAGATGAGCATGTTCATTTACTTAAGTGGACATGTATTAATACTATGCTTAAGAACACAACCCAGCTATATTTGGATGGACATATATCATCAGTTAAAAACTATGAAACTGTAGCCTCTTATCCAGTTCTCTGACCCCTATCTTGGATTATGGACCACCACAGAGAATATGCTGCTCACTCTAAACTCTCTTCCTCTAATTCTTAAAAACACATTTAACAAATCTGTGACAAGGTATATAAGAAGGGTACAAAATAGGTACCAACAGGGCAGAAGTGAGAATCCATGAATTCTGACTGGAGAAATAACCACACCTCTTAGAGTATAAACCCTTTAGCTACGTCTGGAAAGATGAGCAGAAGTTCCGCAGAAGAAGTCAAAGAGGTTTTGAAGAAGAAAGTTTGTCTTGTGTGTTCAGGTGGTGGTGAGAGACCCAGGGAGTGGGTCTCTCGGTGCATTTTCACAGACAAAGCAGAAGGAACTGGACTTTCAACTATTTAATTCTTCTGAAGTGCCTTCAAGTTCTTCCCAGTCAACAGAGAAAATAATACACAAGATGTGTGATAATGAAGACACTAACTTAACAATAAGATACAAAAAATGGGAACGTTGGATCATTTGGTTCTATCCATCCTTCAGGTCATGGAAACAAGATGAGATCTCTTATTTGCTTATTGCCTACATCCAAATGTGATTCAGAAAATGATTTCCCTGCCTCCTCTCACACTAAGATGTGTCAGGCAGCACACACTGAAAAGCTGCTCAGAGCTGGGTTGGAAGAGGCGAAGCAGAGCCAAAACGGGAATCAAAGCGTCTCACCGAACAATTTTTTAAAACCATTTATTCCTTAAGGCATCCAGAGAAGGCAAAATTCCCAGCACATGTTTCTGCAGTTCCAAACATTCCCTTAGATTTGTTTTCCATTTTTAGTGAAGGTATTCAAGATTAGGTTAGGTGGCAACTCGATCTGCTGAACACTCATCTGGAAACTGGTCTCGGAATTCTTTTCTTGATGGAGATGAAATATCTTGGAATGAAGTTGAAACAAAGGTTCGAACTGGGGCCACGTTAAGACTTGTTTATAAGGTATGTGGTGTGTGGTTTACTTCATTCTGTGCCAAAATGCGATGTGCTTTAGTGCAGCTCGTAAATGAAGCTCAGGAGAAACACAAATGTGGTGCGTCTCCATTCGGTATTCCTGAGCAGCACTCCCCCAGGTGGCATGGCCCCATGATTGTCGCTGGCTCTGTCCTACCCCTGTCAGTTCACTAAAAGAAATTTGGTCACAGCCAAGCTTGGCCCTGCGATTCTTTCAGCTGTTGAGCTGGTATATTCCTGTTAGAGGGAAGATTGCCTAAACTCCAAATAATGGACTTACAGAGAATGAGATGAAATATCCCTGCCATGGTAGGCTGACTACTAAGATAGCTAATGCTCTTGCTTCCTGGTATTTGTGCCCTCATGTAATCTCCTCCTCTTTTTGTTCAGCCTTGACCTAGTGACCTGATTCTAAGGAACTGAAAGTGGCAAAAGTGATAGGATGTCACTTCCAAGACTGGGTTTTAAGTCTGTGACTCCCCTCTTGCTGGCACTATATTTTGCTAGCATGTTCTCTCACTTTATAGCTATCGTTGCTTGCTTGCACTGGGGAAGCAAGCTGACATATTTCAAGTAGCAGGTGGTCTCTGGCAAATAGCCAGTGAGTAAATGAGGCCCTTAGTCCAAAAGCCTATAAGGCATAGAATCATGTCAACAGAATCCTCCATGTGTGTGAATGAGCTTGGAGGCAGACCCTCAGATGCACACTGAGATGACTCCAAAGGGAGTCCCTGAGCCAGGGGACTCAGCTAAGCCACACCCAGGTTCCAGGCCTAGAGAAACTGAGATCGTTAATGGTGTTGTTTCAAGCGGCTAAGTGCTAAACTAATTTGCTACACAGCAATGGTATTTATCTGCTTATAGAAGTGGTAAGGCTCGGAAGTGGGAGTACAAAAATTGGAAAGAGAATAGGTATATATATTTGTGTCTGTCTGAGTCACCAACCCAGATAGAATCTTTATGACAGACGTTTTCAGTATACTGTTTATAATCATTGCAACAACCTGGCAAGGGTGGTGTTATTCACATATTTTGGATAAAACTGAGGTTATAGCAACCAAGTTACTTGGTGTAGAGCACATAGCTAGAAGGTGACAGAGATGAAAGAGAAACAAAGTCTCTCTTACTCTGAAGCCTTTGATCCTTCCTCTGCCTTAACGTTCCTAGGTGGCAAGGGTGGGATAAGGCTTAGGATGGAAATCAGAATCACCTGGAGATCTTTTTTAAAGCTCGTTATGGTGCTTTCTTTTCTGGAGGTCCTGACACAGTTTGAAATGAATCATACCACACAGTGGGATTGTAGCAGAAGAGCATTGAACTTACAAGTTCAGCTATTCCCCCTCTGGCAGCTTGGGCCTATAATTAGAAAATTAAAATTCCACATTTCAACTACATTCTGACTGAGGATCTGGAAGTCCTTAGCAACTTCCGTGGTGATTAGGAAGATGATCATGTGACTTGGGTAGTCTGATGTTAGGTTGTTTTAATTAAGTTACAAATAAAGCAATAGCACCCAGATCTCCACTTTTGATGGAGATCCACATAGTCTGATGCATCCTGGACTTTCCCTCACTTAGAGCCAAAAGTTAGTGAAATGGGTTTGGCTAAACAAAGATAGGTTGAAAGTAGAATGGGTGAATGGTAAGTGCTGCTTTCGTTCGGTGTCAGGAACAAGATTATGAAATAATGGAAGAGCACACCTCAGTGCTGCACCCTAGGAAGATATGTTTGGCCCTGGGTGCTCGTAGAGTGGCTTCTAGAGCTGAGAAGGGCAGCTCAGCAGAATGGAGTAGCCTGTGAGCTGTCTGACCAGCTCCTGGGCCAGGTCCAGCGTCCCTCTTCTAGATTTAGCCCTTCAGCTCTTGCAATAGCTTCCCTGCTTCTGGCCCTGAGAAGAGACTGAGTGGGCTTCTCATTGTAGATCACAGTCTTACTTCCACAGCCATGGCATCTATTTGTGGAAGACGTCACAATTAATGACAAAGTGCACAGTTTCTCCTGGACCAGATGACTGTAGTGCTGGCTTCTTTACCCCCTTCCTGCTACCTCATTGTATAGATTTTTCTAGAGAAGCACTGCCCAGTGAGCTAGCTGCTAGTTACTTGAGGCTATCGATGCAGCATTTGGAATGCAGTTAGTGAGACAAAAGAAGTGGATTTTTATCTAATTTAATTTCAATTTATTTAAATTCAAATAACCATATGTAGTTGGTGGCTAACGTGTGGGATAGCATAATTCCAGAGGCTGTCATCCTTATGGTATTCTTTCGTTAATTTATTTTTGGCTAATATTTACAGAACATTTCCTATGTGTCAGGCAGTATACTTAGAATTTTGCATGTATTCATCCAATTTTCACAAAACCTGATGAACCTCATTATATTATTTACATTTTCCAGAGCAGAAAGTTAAATTTCATAGAGACGAAGTGGCCTGTCTCCCATCATACAGGCAGGAGACAGGATTCAAAATAAAGTCTATTTGGCTTCAGTCCTGTGTTTCTGTACAAAAGAATGAGGCTAAATCAGCAGAAATGAAGGGTAAAACAAAATGGGCACAAGACAATTAAAATATAACCCGTTATGGTGCGTTATTTCATTTTATTGTTTATTGTAAACACTCTGGCCACAGAACACACATTAGTTTTTAAATAACCATAATTCAAAGCTTTCACATTATATAGTATTTTCCTTCAATGTGTATCATCTAGGAAAATATCAGTGAACTCCAAAAGTCTATATGGATAATGTGCACATTTATGCTCTTCTGACACTAAACATAAATAGTAAAAATAGTCATTGCTTGTAGGTCTTTGGGTCTATGCTGTGCCTTAAGGGAAGCCATAAAACAACGGTGTGGACTCAGATGGCTCCCTATGTGGGTAATGTTTGCAGAACATGGGAGGTATGCAGTAAATGTTTATTGACGGCAAAGATGATGAGAATTCAATTTGCGCTGGTCTTTTCCTCTCCATTTTTCTTAAGGAATTTATGGCTCATTTGCAACCAACATTGTGAATGTCACGGAGACCCCCACAATTTGAGTTGCAGAGCTGCCGTGTAATTGGATCTGATCACACTTGCAGAAGAGAGAGAAAGCATATGTACTGCTAAAATTCCAGTCCCTAGAATAGGCTGGAACTCTCAAATTCTTTGTGTCCTTTTAAGTCAGAAAATCATCAGCGCCTACAAATCAAGCAAGTCATTCAAAACTAATCTAGCTTTTAGATCTCACTGACAGATAGACCTCATTTCAGTCAGATCAATGTATTTGAAAGAAAATATGCTACTTATGTGAACTACTAAGTTTCCTAACTATAAGGACAGGAACTATAATTTTATACCTTAAGACATTTATTTTCATTATTTTATTCAGCAAAATTCTTAGCATCATTTTGGGACTTCACTGAATTATGATGATGATGTTACATTAAACATTTTAGATTTAATTGCAAAGTGACATAAAAATTTGAACATCTCTTCCCAGTATTTTTTTATGCATGCAGTGCAGTGTTTAAGCAGACTTGTAATGAAGATCTTTCTAGGGTTCCTGGGTGGCTCAGTAGGTTAAGTGTCTGCCTTCAGCTCGTGCCATGATCCCAGAGTCCTGGGATGGAGTCCCACATTGGGCTTCCTGTTCCACAGGGCATCTGCTTCTCTGCCTCTCTCTCTGTCTCTCATGAATAAATAACTAAAATCTTTTTTTTTTTTTTAAAGATCTTTCTAACTAGCTACTAGCAAGTTGTGTTCATCACAGTGTTCTTTTGGTGAATAGAAGTGATACACGGTTTTGTTTTGTTCAGTTTTATTGAGAAATAACTGACATGCATCGCTGTATAACTTTAAGGCATACAGCATGATGGTTTGATTTACATATGTTGTAAAATGATTATTATTGTAGGTTTAGCTAACATCCATCTTCTCATATAGATACAATAAAATGCAAGTAAAGAAGAATAAAAGAAAAAAATGTTCTTCTTATGATGAGAACTCTTAGGATTTACTCTCTTAACACTTTTCCTATATATCATATAGCAGTGTTAGCTCTGGTCCTTATGTTGTACATTACATCCCTAGTGCTTATTTATCTTATAACTGGAAGTTTGTAACTTTTGACCACCTTCCTCTAATTCCCAATCCTCCCACCCTCCACCTCTGGAAACCATAAGTCTGATCTCCTTATCTATGAGTTGTTGTTTTCTTTAAGATTCTACATATAAGTGAGATCATATGGGATTTATCTTTTTTTTTTAATCTAACTTACTTTCTTAGCATATTACTTTTAAGGTCCATCCTTGTTGTCCCAAATAATAGGATTTCCTAATTTTTTAATGGCTGAATTACATTCCTTTGTGTAAACACACACACACACCTCACAACTTTCTTATCCATTCATTTATTGATGGACACTTAGATTGTTTCCATGTCTTGGCTATTGTAAATAATGCTGTTATGAACATGGGGGTACAAGATATCTTTTTGAGGTAGTATTTTCATTTTCTTTGGATATATTCCTCATTTCTTTGTAGATCCGTTGTTCCTTCTTTCTTATCCTGCTTTCTTTTTTTGTGTTTCGATTTTTTTGGTATCAGTATGCTTTGACTTATTTATTGTGTTCTTTTGTGTGATTACCTCAAGATCTTCCCTTGTGGTTACCATGAGGCATGCATAATATATCTTAAACTCATAACACCCTATTTTAAACCTATATTAAGCCTATAAATAAATACAATTTTTATACTTTATACTTTTACTTCTGCCCCTCACATTTTAGATTATTGCAGTTATAATTTATTTCTTTTAGCTGGTGTAACTAATAACAGATTATTGTATTTATGGTTATTTTTGCTACATTCCTTTAAAAAAATTTTAAACTAGAGTTGTGAGTGAGTGATGTATCACTATTACCATATTGCAGAATCCAGTTATGACTATATATTTGTCATTGCCAGTGAGATTCATGTTACCTTTTTGTGTTTTGTTTCTTGTAAGGTAGGTCTGGTTGTAATTAACCCCCTCAGCTTTTGTTTGTTCAGATAGTCTTTATCTCTCCTTCATTTCTGAAGGACAGCTTTTCCAGTTATACAGTTTTTGATTGACAGTTATTTTCTTTCAATGTTTTGAATATGGCATCCCATTTTCTCCTGGCCTGAAGAGTTTCTGTTGAGAAATCCAATAGTCTTATGGGGGGTTCCTTGTATGTAAGTTCTCTCTTTCCTCTTGGTGCTATTAAAAAATATTTTGTCTTTGACTTTTGACTATATAATTATAATGTGTCTCAGTGTAGCCCTCTATCCTTAGGTTCAAACTCTTTGGGATCCTTTGGGCCATGTGGATCTATATATCCATTTTTCTCCCCAGGTTCAGGAAGTTTTCAGCCATTATTGCTTTCTGTCCCTTTCTCTTTTTTTCCTTCTGGACGTCCTGTGATGCACATATTGTTTGTTTTCATTGTCATATAATTTCCATAGGCTTTCTTTGCTATTTTTAATCTTTCTTTCTCCTTGGGTAATTTCCAGTGTCCTATCCTTCAGGTTGATGATTTTTTTTTTCTGCATGTTTGAATCTACTTTTGAAACTCTCTATTGAATTCTTCAGTTCATTTATTGTATTTTTCAACTCTGAGATTTCTGTTTTTGTTTTTTTGATGGTTGCTATTTCCTTGTCAAACTTCTCCTGTTCATGCATTGTTTTCCTAATTTTGTTAGTTTTCTGTCTCTGTTCTCTCGAAGTTCACTAAACTTCTTTAAGAGATTTGTTCTGAATTCTTTGTCTGATAGTTTATAGGTTTCCATTTTTTTTAGGGTCAGTTCTTGGAGTTTTATTAGTTTCCTTTGGTGGCGTCATATTTACCTGATTTTTCGTGATCCTTGATTTCTTGCATTGGTATCTGAGTATTTGAGTAATTAATCTCTTCTTCCAGACTTTATAGGTTTGCTTTGGCACAGATAGTTCTTCACTAGTCAGCTCATTTTATTTTGCTGGGTGTGTCTATTGGTAATGTCTTTGGGCAGGCAGGGCCTGCTATTATGGACTGCTTTGGTCAAGGCAACTTGCCTTGGATGGACAGGGATGGGGTATTGTACCACTGGACGAAAATAGTTGGATATGACTCCTGGCTTGGTTCGCTATCCAAGTGAGGCTGTAGGATGGGGTCCTCAGTTGCCTTATTCTCTGCTCAGGCTTACTAGATGGTTGGGACTGGGTCTGTATTCAGTAGTAGATGGAGTTATGTTCCCTGCTTCTCTTCTTGGCAGGACAGCAGCCCAGGTTCAGGGCACATAGAGATCATTGTTTGGGGGCTTCAAATCAGGCCTGAGTGTCCACTGAATTCCCTGCTCAGGTGATGCTCTGCAGATGGAGGAAGTTGTGCTCACTGTTCAAGCGCCACTGTATGTAGGGCTGTTAGATGGACTATATGGCTTCCCTTGTGCTCTGGTTAGGTTCCCTGGTCAGATAGCCGAAGGCTATATTTAGCCATGAGCAAGGCCATGAATTAGATTCCCTTTCTGTGTGCAATAGGAGAAGCAGCTGTAAAACTGGTAAAGCTCTTTGTCTTAACTCAAGAAGACCCACGCCTTAAGTTCCCTGGCCAAATTAGGCCAATGGCTCTGCAAACTACTGGCTCTGTCTGCTCTTCTCTCAGCTCAAGTGCCACTGGGCCACACAGCTTCCAGGAGTTGTCTCTAGCCCTTCTGGTCAGATGGTGCTGAAGGCACTCTTCACAGTGTGTGGGGCTGTGACTCAGTACCCTGCCTACGTATGAGCAAATTGGGCCATAGGACTGGCAAACATCTTGTTTGAGGATCTGAATCAAGCAGATCTGTACCTCTCCAAGTTCCCCAGTCAGAGTGTACTTCTAGCTTGGTTCTACAGATGAGCAAAGCCACTGGTTGAGATTACTATTTGGGCACTGCCAATATGAACTTGGTCTGCCAACATCCATGTGCTGGTTGTTGTAAGCTCCTCCCTCATTCTCTGTCATAGTTATATTTCCAGTGGCTGAGCCCTGCAATTCCAGTGGTATGGGATGAGAGTAGGGGTGCTCACGAGTGACCCACAATGCTGGGGGGGCAGTGCTGGTTGTTCCCTCTTGGGTTCTCTTTTCCACTGGAGGAAGTGGAGGCTCAGAAGACACCTCTCCCCATGGTGCTGCACTGTCCTGGGGAACAGGCAATACAGTCAACATGCAGTAACTTCTCTTACCCCTCTAATACAGTCTATCTCAGTCTCTGAAGTCTGTGTGGGGGGTATTCTTCAGCTTCAGTCCTACGTTCTAGGATTCTCTCAATGACGTCTTGTTTTGGGATAGCTGTTAGTTGTTCTTGTAAGGGGCAGCAAATTCAGGAATGATGTATGTCATCATTTTGGTGGCATCACTCTCCCCCAATATTTTGTCAATGTAAATTTTAAATATATGAAAGGGCCCACATAAAAATATAAATGTTAAGGTCACTTGCAGCAAAATACAGCACATTAGAATTATTTAGCCAAAATTTTATACTTGAAGGTAGGCACTTCATAACATTTGGATTTTGGCAAAAGGCAACAGTTTGATGTCAATAACCTTTCTATTAACTGTATAACTTTTTCAAGGGAATATATTTTCAAAATATTACAGAAGAGAAAGCTGTCTAAGCTACATATGAATGGAATTCCACAGAACAGAATGCAAATTTCATTTTCCCTTCTTCTTTTCATAAACTGTTATATATCTTCACGGTCAAGTTCTACAGTTTTACTCCCTGATGTAAAATCCCATGGGAATATTCAGCTTCTAATCTTTTAATCTGAAATGAAGTATCTGTTGTTTGTAGAACTTGATACAGTGTTTTTTCCCCACAGTTGGAATAACTTTTGTCATAATAAAACACTAAAGTCAGATGATTTTTAGATGGCAGTAGCTAGCACTGAAGAGTTCTTGGCTTCAAGCAGCTGTCGAGTCCCTTTGATCCTGTTTTAACTTGTCAAATTAAATAGATAAGATTAAACTGTTCTAATTGTTTTCATTCTTGGAGGCATAGAAATTTACTTCACACTTAACTAAACCGTGAGCAGAATGTTTGGGTCCAAGTGGACCCATCTACTATTTGATTTAGCTGTCCTTTCTAGAACATGTCTCTACCAGATAGATTCTGTTTGAAGTCTTGGTAATAGGAAACTTCACAAAACAATCTAGTCAATAAGGAAGCTCCAACTCCTCTTTCTTATCCTGAAACCAAAGTTCCTTGTTCTTATCCAGAAACCAAAGTTTCTGTAGCTTCCATCCAGTGCTTTAAACAGTGAAAGGCACAGAGTAGGCTCTCATGCACTTGAACAGTATTTACTGATGAACAAAAGAATGAATAATTCTAGTTCTGACTTTTAAAGCTACACAGAATATAGTTGTTTCCTTATGTACTCCAGGCTATTCTCCTCTCTTATATCATTCTTCTCTTTTCCAGGATCAATATTGCAGTTTCCTTAAGCAATATGATTTTCAGATGTTTTGTCTGTCTCATTACTCTTCTCTGAATGTGACTGCATTGATCAGTACATCTCTTCAAATGTGATACCATTGAACCAAACAGTACTCCAGATGGGGTCAGCTCAGAGAGGGGTAAAAACTCAGTATTTCTTAGCCTGGATATTCCACCTGACATATTGTTTGACCCAAAAAAGTATTCCTTAGAGCAATCCTTTCCTGTTCTGAGTAGAGGCATTTTATTCCAGGCAAGATCTCTGATTGGCACATATTCTGTTCTGGGAGAAGGATTGTTTTCTTGAATTTCCAGGGTAAGGAGGGGGTGGAGAACGCTGTGCTGAAGCCTGTGGGGTCGGGGAGTAGGGAGGTGGCAAGTCGGCACAGTATTCCATCTCATGGTCATAACTATAGGGGGGTGGTGCCACTGAAAAAGAAAAAGTAAAGGGCATCAGGCATTTAGCAAATATTTGAGTGTCTACTATGTTTAAACCACTGGGCTGAGTACTTTGGGACAGGGCATAATTTTTGCCTGCAAAAATCTTAGTTTTATTGGTTTGGGGACACGTGTATGAAAGGGCGAGTGCTACAAAAAGTGTTACCATTGGCCAAAATGTTTAGAATTAGTTGCTTTGGGAAAGTTTCTTGGAAATAGGATGCTAAATGGGCAGATAAAGAAAAGACTAGGCACTAATTCCAGATTGAACAAAAGCACAGAAGCAGGAGAGCACTTTTGTTGAAAGCAAAAAGTACATGGAAGGGGGAAATGGGAGGAAGTGTTGAGAAATCTGATGGTATCATCATCATGGTGGGCTTTGACTTTCACATAAGGAGTGTGTGATGTGCAGTTACCAAAGATTTTTTGAATATGCTAGTGAATATGCTTGGGAGGGTGATTTTCTCAGCAGTATGGATTGAAGTGAGCAGAAGAAAAAGAGAGATGATGTAATAGCATATGTGAAGGATTATAAACGACTCATGGCATTGGGAGGGAAAATCATAAGAGACCTTGAGCAGCTGAGTGCTTCGGTGATGACTAGGTAGGTAGAGAAAGAGGTGGAGAGTGAAAGAAGACATCCAGGTATTGGACACTGTTTATTAGACTCCAGCAACTTAGAAGGTCATGGAGCCATTATAGGAATAAGAAAAAAAAGCGAGGATGGGCAAGCACATTTGTGGATGGGAATGAAGAACTTAGTTTTCTAAATATTATTTGAAAATGTTTCTTAAATTATTTTTTTACTGTAATATATGTCAGTGTGTTTTAAATCACATTTAGTACACTTCATTATGACCATGTATTGGGGTCTATTTTGTAGTGATCTCAGTCCCATGTCAAGGGTTGGAAGAGAGGTAACCCCTTGAGTATTCCATGTCTTCAAGAACCGATCATTCTGCAACATCTGAGCAACCCCTCTGATGATTTGCCAGTATTTGAATTATCATCAAGATCATGAGTCTGGTTGGAAATTGGCAAGCCTTAATTGCTTACTATGAATGTAGCCTAAATCACAAGACTAGTGTCATAATAATGCAAATAAATGGCCAAGATTTTTAAACATTAGAATGGCAGAAAAGAACAAGCAACATTTCAATAAACTTATTTTTAAAATATCTTCTAGGGATGCCTGGCTGGTCAGCTGGTGGGGCATGAGACCCTTGATCTCAGGGTCGTGGGTTTGAGCCCCACATTAAGTGTAGAGATTACTTTAAAATAAAATCTTAAAAAAATAAAAAAATAAATAAAATGTCATCTAAATTGTGCTCTTACCAATAAGATTATGGTAGCGTTCTGATCAATATACATGCAAAAACATAGGGCTTCACCCTATTTGCAAACACTAACAATGTTTCTTCTGGATCCCTTTAATTTGGCTTGTTTTACCAGGAGCTTGATGATTTGAACCACTACTGATCTGCCTGTACTCAGGGATGTGAGGACACAGAATTGGGTCACCTGAGAAAAGAGGAAAATGGAGACAGAGAACTGGGTGGGATGTCCTCTGAGGACTGCTCTACTGAGCAAAGGCTTTGCAAGTCTCCCGGTGAAGGGCTCATAGCAGAGGACAGCTGTATTCAGCTTCTCTAAGGCTGCTTTAAACACTTGAGGCTGGGCTATCAAAAGCTTTGTTTTCTGTAACAAAATGGAACAACTCCTGTGGAGTCTAAACACACATTCCCTCTGCATTACACCCACTCCTTTGCTTCATTATATCCAGGAGGACTAAGACAAAGAGATTTAGAATATACTTCATCCAAGCCAAGAAATACAGGCTCCATGTAAAATCGCAAGTTACAGCTGGATACGTATTGAACTTTTCTTATAAGCATATGGTTCTAAGCTGTTTTTATGTTGAAGCTTTTTCCTGCCTCCCACTTGCGGAGCACACGCTGAAAGAGTCTACAGATTGCATCATTCTCTGTCATGAAGCCGTGGTGTCTAGTTACGCTTCGGTAACAAAGCGTTTGTATTTTGCCATCTGCATTAAAACTGCTAGAGGACATTTCAGTGAGATTCCCTATGGTTTATACAGCTGCTTGTTGAACATGAAAATTTAAGATATGATTAGATTCATATGGCCCTCTACTCATATAGCTTTTGAATTTTGATGAAGTGATAATATGCAGAAGAGCAATATTTTGAGGACTATCCATCATGAAATAAACATGGCACATCTTTTATAGTATTAGCTACTAGAAGACATTTTAAAATAAGACTTGTATAACTGTGGACTCTGCTTTCTTTCTTTTTTTCAGATAATAAGGTTTCACTAGGAAGTAAACTTTTCAAGGTGTCAATTTTAGAAAATTCCTGATTAACTCTAAAAGGTTTTGTTCTTTCTTAAAGGTCAAAGCATCTTTCGAAGACGTATGGATGCAGCTGGAGATATGGTGTCTTTGAAATTCTTTCATCATCAATATTCCAACTCTCTTAAGTACAGCAAATATGCCATTTATCCTTAATGTCATTATAGTTTTCTACAATATTATAAAATTTAGGGATGCTATGAAATTCATAAAAGAAATTTATTGTTTTTCACCCACTCAGGCGAACATCTCTGAAGCAAACATAAAGGGAAGATGCACGGTGTTACCAAAACCTATACAACATTATTTTTAAAAATTTGGAAACAGGAAAATCATCCATAATTTTGTCACCACGATTTAACAAGTAACATCTTTATATAATCTCTTCTAGTCATTTGTGGTTTTTATACCCTTGTAGTCATGTAAAATGAGTATAGGCTTTTTTACTTTGGATTATAACATAGTCTTTTTCATTCTGCTACATATTCTTCATAAACTTTATTGTTAATGGCTGCCTATTATTCTGACTGTTCACTTATTTTGAGATTAACAATTTTTTATTATTATAAGTAATGGAAAGATGATTACCTTTTCACACATTGACTTTTTTATTGTTATTTTGAATTAGTTCTTTAGAATAAGATTCCAGGAATCAACTAACCGGTTATCATTTAATATTTTGGTAATTTAATGTTAAAAAATAGTTCTTTATTTTATATTTCTTTGATAGTAGCTAGATTTGACATTGTTCTACAACTTGTTTACTGTCTGTAGTTTACTTACATTTTTCTTTTTTAAGGATTTTATTTATTTATTTGAAAGAGAGAGCAAGCGGGGCGGGTGGGGAGGTAAGGGATAAGCAGACTGCGCTGAGCTTGGAGCTGATGTGGGGCTCGATCTCATGACCCTGAGACCATGATCCTGAGATCATGACCTGAGCCAAAACCAAGAGTCAGACATTCAACCAACTGAGCCACCCAGGTGCCCCTACTGTTTATTGGGTAATTGTTGTTTGTTTTGGACTGGTAGTTTAAAAACTGGAATCTTAATTAGAATCAAGATATAATTAAGATGACAAGATATAAACAAGTATACAAAGGTATGTATCTTTTCTAGGTATCTTTCTAAAAATAACTGTCAAAATGGTTAATTATATTATTTTTACTTACTGACATACTGAAATTTAAAACTTGTATCTAACAAAATATATGGTTATCTTTTTGATCTTTTCTCTATTGTTAAACTCAAAAATTTGTCTTCTCTTTTGGATATCTGATTCATAGCCAACTATTTCTATTTATATATTTAAAGCTTCCTTATATCTGTTATTTTATTTGGTGTACTTTTGTGTCAAAGTTTATTTTTCTTAAGTTTTAAATTTTTGCTAAGCCAAATTATCTATGTGGTTTCTTAATCCTCATTTTTCACATTGTTTGTTATCTCTCCTTTAGTTTGTTAAATTTTAATGTACTAGTTCTGTTCCAATGATCAAGACATATCTTTTTATACCATTAACACCTCATTTTAATTATTTATTAATTCAAATGGTTTTAATATCTGTAGGACAGGTGAATCTCATGACTTTTTTTGACATGTTTAAAAAAATTTTTATTGAGATATAATTGACATATAACATCATGCAAGTTTAAGGTGTACAACATGTTGATTTGATATATTTACATACTGCAATATGATCACCACCTGTTAAATTAATTAAACAAGGAGACTCTTATACTGAGGTGGCTCTATTTTCATAGTGAGTAAACCAAAATGTAAGCCTATAAATGCTTCAAAGTTACAAAATCAAAACACTAAGGACAACCAGTCACAAATTGCCAACTAGGCTTTAAGCTATAGCCAGTGAAATAATTTCCTTTCTCTGCTTCTACATTTTCTCTGTATAAGGCAGGGAACTCCTAATCATTTCCAGTATGGTGCTATCTGATTCAAATCAATTTTTGCTCAAATAAACTCTTAAAATGTCTAGTATGCCTCAATTTGTCTTTTAATACACCTTAGCATTAGCTTATGACATTTTTAAAAAGATCTATTTATTTACTTTAGAGAGAGAGAGAACAAGTGGGAGGAGGGGCAGAGGGAGAGAATCTTCAAGCAGACTCTCGGTTGAGCACGCAGCTCCATGCGGGGTTCAGTCCCACAACCCATGACATCATGCCTTGAGCAGAAACCAAGAGTCACACGCTCAACCGACTGAGCCATCCAGGCATTCCTAGCTTATGACATTTTTAAAGACAACTTCTAATATTATTGCTAGGAGCAAACCTTCTCCTCCACCCTCCCCCAAACCACACTACTCACAGTTTCCTTGAACCTTACTTGGAGCAGAAACCCACAGAGCTCCCAGCAAGACCTCCACTGCCTCCACTCCCACCACAAAGACCCAATCCTGCCCATTTCTCCTCAACAGTGGCTTAAGATGTAGTTCCCAAAAGGATGATACTATTAGAAGCTATCACTCCCCTTCCCCTCAGATAACATCAAGACAAGTCCAGTCATATTTTACATTCCTCTGTTACCATGAGGAAAAGCTCTTAGAACATCTTTCATTGTAGACCTCTAACTCTGGAAGGCTTTACACATAAAATCTCATTAATTTTC